GGTCTAGGCAAGTCGGTGGTGCGCATAGGGGAGGTGAAGAAAGCTGGCGTGTACGCGCACTGGTCTTCTCCCACGATCCGTACATCCTCGTCACTGTCTCCTTGGATGAGCTCTAGATCATAAGTAGGCGCGTGGAGAAAGGCTTCAAGGCTAAGGTCCTGGAGTGACGTCCGCGGAGCCAAGCTCTCAAGAAGAGATTGGCAGTATTGATGCACCAGGTCGAAAAGTGGCTTGTCCCTCGTCTTGCTCCACGAACGCCCTTTCCTGAGTTCCATCTCTTGTAGCATTTTTCTACCAAAAATTGTGTCCTTCACTCGCGCGACGTCGACTTTGACGACAAATCGTGCGTGGCCGCGCAGCACTGTAATTTGACATGTATCTTCAGTAGCAAACCCTGAGGGACCCATGCTGATATGATAATCTTGATTCATGATGGACTATCTCAGCGCATAGGAAAAGTCCGCGTGTAGAGTTAATGTGTGAAGTGTCAGTCGCGAAGTATTGCAATTCAGGCAGCCACCTAGCCAGGTACGCGAGGTTTCTCACATCACGTGTTTGGGCCACCTAGGCAGAACCAGATCTGTCACAAATGAGCTGTTCACATCCTCTTCTGACAGCCGTGAAATCACCGGAACAAGGAATAGAGTATGTGTAGGCAGAAGGAGAGCAGCGAGACCGGTAAAGCCGAAAAGGCATCAAATCCAATTCGTCGTGAGGATTATGTATGTACATATGAATCGAATGCAGCGACGCTCAAGCCGCTTATTGCAGGAGGCAAAGCCTACTAAACACTAACAAAGATCTAGAAAAAAGAAGTCCATCATGAACCACACACGAAGACACCAGCATCACGTTTTTGGTGTCCTGATAACGCCCGCAACTCAGAAGAGCGCTTACAAGCACTGGGAGTACCAGTCATTCTGCTTGACGCACTTGCAGCCTGAAGCGCAGCTGGTAGCACCGGAGTAGCCCTGGCCACCGCACTGGCCGTACTTCTGAGCGGTAGCACCGCCGGCAGTAGGAGCCGGCTTAGCAACAGTGGCGAGAGTGGTCTTGGCTGTGGTAGTGGGGGCGGCGACCTTGGTAGTGGTAGGGGCAGCAGCCTTGGTGGTGGTAGCGGCGGGTGCGGCGACCTTTGTGGTGGTAGGCTTAGCAGGAGCAGCAGGAGCAGCAGCACCGGCACCGTTCCAGAGCTTCGGGCCCGGGATGGGGTAGCTGGAGTATGAGCCGTATAGGTTGAAGTGGACACCAGCGTCCTGAGCGCTGAGGTGACCAGGGATAGCAACACCTGCGGGCAGAGCAGTGGTACCAGAGCCACCGACCTTTACGTGGATGCACTCCTGGTAGAATTGCGCACCACCAATGCGATCACCCTCGTGGAGGGCAATGATCTCGGGGCGGATGATGTACTCGCCAGGTGCAACCTTGGGCAGAGTGAACTTGTGCTGTCCTGGCTTGCCAGTGTATGAGCCCTTGATAAGCTTGTCAACAGCCCATGATTTGCCATCGTAGCCGTCCTCGGCAATCTTTGTCCATGACATGGAAGAACCAGCCTTGGACATGTAGACAGTGATGGGTCCCATGTGGGATGGGTCGATGATGTCGTCGCTAGCGTCAGCGTTGTTGTGGTGCCATTCAACCTGGAGAAAGTCGTTAGTGCTTGTTATATTCAGAAGGTATCATAGAGATACTTACAGCAATCTCATCACCACCGTTGACGGCAACGGACTTGGAAGCCTTGATGCCGGCTACATTGCACTCCATAGACTTGGAGGTGACATCAACGATGGGGTTGTTGTTGGGAGGAGAGTCAATGTATCCACCAGCAACATTTCCGAGACCCTGGGTCTTTCCGTTGACAGAAATGCTGTAAACAGTGGTGTGGGCGCTAGCAGCACCAGCAAGAGCGAGAGCGAAGATGGAGGCCTTCATTTTGAAGTAGAACTTTGAAGTGTTGGTTGGGTGGGTAGTGGAGTAATTGTTCTTGTAAAGAGGGACTGTCTGAAGACAACGACGAAGTAAAGATCGAAGAATTCAAAGACTGGAAAAGAACGTGTAGAGAACGAGTGTGTTGAGCGTCAAGCGTACCCCTTGAACAAAGGCAGGCATTGTGGGCTTTATACTTGCTGAATCCTTCCATACACGGAGTCACTGTCCCAAGACATCGCCATCTCGCTTGGTGATTACATGTCAGTTCAGTGCCCCGCCCAAAACAGCCACCAGGAACGTGGCGGCGGTTAGACGTGCAGGTAAACATGCAATACCATCGTATCCTACGGGAGACCAGTGCTTAGAAGGGGCTAGAGCCGCCGTTAGAAGCAGCTGGGGCCGTTGGGCGGAAGCTGACGTGACAGGTGAACGTATAGCTATACCGTATGGGGCATGCAGGATCCAAGAGGCGGTGTTGCGACACTGTGCTTCCCCTGTGACGATCGGTTCTAGGTGCAGCATCTTAGGTTCTTGATTCAAGCAACATGAAACATGAGCGAGGACATCCCTTCGGATGATCTAGCGAAAATCCTTCTAGAGCCATCGAACCCCGAGAGCCTCGGTATCGTCTTGCTAGAAGGCTCCTGACAACGAGAAAAGGCCGCTATACGGCGTTATGTACTTGACAGGAAGTCGCTGTGACTTCACGTCTCGGGCCTGGAAACACGTGGAGCAAGCATGGAATATTTCCAGGGACCCTCATCTCGGTTCAGTGTCTAGAACGCCATATCCGGCCGCCCAGAACGGTACTGAAAAGCGGCGTCAAGATGTTCCGTCATGCCGCAGGCGCCCACGAAGAGTGGAAATGAGCGAGGGAGCACGCGTCGCATTGTCGAGATATGTCCAATTTTTCAAGGGACGAAAGCACCAGAAGTTCGCCGGTGAATCCAATGTGTACGCGTCAGTGGCCTTCGTGCAGAACGATCATAGTAACTGTTGTGACGATGCTGTACTGGAGTCGTTATGATCAGTTGGAGGGATTGTGCTGATCCTTGGTTGCCGCACGAGCCAACAGCACTTTCCGAGCCCGCGGCTCAGTGCCTTGGCGTTCACAAATCAACCCCGAGGACGGGTCGATCGATCCGCCCAGAACATAAGTATCCAATACATACAGCAGGTTGTGTGTTTCATGACAACTACTTCATGCAAGCCTCAGGGCAAAATCAAGATGAGCGTTGGCTGATCAGGAATGCCCTCCCTCTTCCTGGACGTTCACCTCCGACGCGCCTCTTCGTGCAGAGACTGTACGAGAATTGGAGAAAGGGGACAGACACTACTGACTAGTCAGGACGTGGTGATGTTACTCTTCATCGCTTCAATTCTTCTGTGTACTGCATGGCGTCGTGATCGATACCATGGATGATACCTAGGTAGCCATGAACGTACTTGATCGCTGAGAGCTACCTAGGTAGGTACGGACCTAGCCCAGCACCTGGCAAGCTCTTATAATCACCGTCAAACCTCTCCTCAGCTTACTAGCCCATACACTTGTGGATGGATCAGCTCTCTTTCTTCTCTTATCGAGCGAGGTTCTGATGGAGAATTCACTCAACAGTACCTAGGTATCAGGTCCAGTGCGAGAACGCTTGGGGATTCCGAGGGTTCTGACTTCACGGAGGCGTCGAGCGACAAACGAAGACCGCTGAACACCAACGTGATGGAATAAGATGAGGCATGCGGTAGATCCGAAAAGGGGAAGCAGCCCTTCACGCGTGGGTAAGGACGCAGCGCCGCGTTTTGACGATGGAATCGCGGTACGGCGGCTTCCGAAAAAGCCTCGGTAACCGACACAACGCTCTTTGACACATGGAAAAGAGTCCAAGGAAGCAAGCGCGAATGACACGAATGCTGTCTTTGAAAGAACTTCAGCAAGAAGCTGTGAGAGGTAGGTGACCTCAGGAGGTTGGGAGGGAGAGCGCGGCCAGATGCGGCTGCGCGCCTTGGCAAAATGTGACACCTGAGAAAACAACGCCCATGCTACCCTGTAACCAACGTGGTTCCCCCAGCACCAGACGAACGATTGCAGCCATGTTCGGAACACTCCGACATCACGAGGACATAGTCCTTATGTCTAGAATTCAAGCACGGCTAGTACCGCAAGGTGTGTTCTTCGGCGAAAAGTCTCCCCAATTACTCCTTTCCTCCAGCAAGACAGTAGCTCAACCTGAGTATATTTACAGACCTGTGCTTTGCTTCCAAGAGTTTCCCGAACAGCGAAAGTCGATCTTTTTTGGTTACATGCAGAAATCGATTTCCAGTTGCAGCAAGCGCACAAAGATACTTCCATGTACCATGCTCTCACAGCACGTTCAGCCAGGAACATCGGGCATCGTTTCCGTCGACTTGACATCCATCTACGGAGCTTGTACACATGGGAACTAAGGCTTGTCAAGCTTAACCAATGGTGTTGCATCATACCTATCTTGCCCATGGATCATCGAAATTCCGCCGAAAAGTAGGTGAGCCGATTGTTACAGTTTGAGGAGGTTGTAGTCGGAAGAGCTTACGTTCTAGGGCCTTGTTCCGGGGTCTTGGACGACTTCGAGCAGGCCAGGTTCCCGGGAAATGATAACGGCAAATATTAAGATTGACCGAGTAAATTTTCCGAGGCTGAAGTACGCGGGGAGACGAGAAATGCCAATGCACGCGACTAGAAGAGGTAAGCCCATGCTCTTCTCATTGGTGAGGTAATTTGATTTCTCCGTAGTGGTCCTACACATGTCAGGTGTTCGCGTTAGCACCACTTGCCACGAGGTGATTGCCACTACAATAGAAACATGTGGATGATCATTCGGAATCTAGGGACGGATCGCGCTTGACGAAGCTCATAATATATGAAGGTCCACTACAAATATCACCACCGTCTAAAGTCGAGTAACAATGCCATGGGGGATACCTGTTAGGAGGGCGCAATTTCGCAAGTACAAAAGGTCAAACGGTCCGCACGAAGAGATGGATTCCAGAACAGCAGGGAACTTTCAAAACCAACGCCCAGCCGCCAAACATCCACCATGAAGGTCGTTTCTGTCATCCTCGGCGCTCTCGCCTCCGTCGGCTTCGCGCAACAAGCAACGCTCTGCAAGGACTACGAATACTTTTCCAGCAACGGCTACCAGCTTAACAACAACATCTGGGGCCGCAGCTTCGCCACCTCGGGCTCGCAGTGCACCTACGTCGACAGCGTGTCAGCCACTGGCGCCAAGTGGCACACCAAATGGACATGGGCCGGCGGAAAGGACAACGTCAAGTCCTACGTCTACTCCGGACGTCAGATCACCAAGAAGAAGGTGAACCAGTACACCAACCTGGAGACGGAGGCCTACTGGGTCTACGACACCACCAACCAGCGCAGCAACGTCGCATACGATTTGTTCACTGCTGCGGACATCAACCACGACACCTCCAGCGGTGACTACGAGCTCATGGTCTGGCTCGCCAGATACGACGTCTGGCCCATCGGTACCTCGCAGGGTATGGTCACTGTTGCTGGCCGATCCTGGGAACTCTTCTACGGCCCCAACGGTTCCATGAAGGTCTACAGCTTTGTGCCCCCTGTTGGCCAGCCCATCTACAACTTCAAGGCCGACCTCAAGGAGTTCTTCGCATACCTCACCAACAACAAGGGCTACCCTGCTTCCAGCCAGAACCTCATTAGTAAGTTTCTCAATGCTACTACCATGACAATGCGTATGCTAACCTCCATCGTAGCTTACCAATTTGGTACCGAGGCCTTCACTGGTGGACCTGCTACGTTCACCGTGAACCAGTGGTCCGCTAACGCTTGGTAAATTGTCGTTCGCAACGATCATAGTAGTGGTGCGAGACACGCGCGATCGTCTGGAAGCCTGGAGCAGTTGCGTCTATTTGGGACTGGAATTGCAACCTTTCTGTACATACTTACACACTTTGGTTCTCAAAGCGTATATATGAATGAACATTTACATTTGCAACGAAATTTTAACATCGGAAAGCGAAGATCCTGATATGCATCAGGTTAAGAGGCTGCTGACTTCTACAAGAACGAAGCCAGGCCTATGACACCAGCCATAACGGCCCAACCCAGACTTCCCATCGTAGTCTTGAGCGCATTGCCTGTGAACGGCTGCGGCGCACTGCCATTGCCGTTCATGCCTTGCCCTGCAACAGCGATCGTGCTTGCACTCTTCTCCGTTAACTGGCCATCGCCACCCCTCAATTGCCCTCCTCCACTGATACTCGATGGATCTCCTGAAGAGCCCTGCACACACCCCATCGTGCCGTTGCCACGAAACATGCGGTCAGCAACACCCTTCCACACCTCCGTTACATCGGAGATCATCTTGCCCGTAAACCACATCCTGCAATCTGCGGCTTCATACATGAACTCTAACGGCGTACCGCTCGCATCGTTCTGTCTCAGGTTGTCTTTGAGATTGACGCCGCCGGCGATCTGTCCGCCATTGTATGCAGATCGCTTGAAGAGTTGGGTTGCGAAAGCAGTTTTGCCAAGATCCGTTTCGTCCCAGGCTTTTCGTTGCTCGGGTGAGCCCAGAAAATAGACGGACTGCATACGGACTTGGATGTCGTCCCAGGCGAAAACTTGGGCGCCTTTGGTACCACCAACTCCTTGCATCGGGCCGGGCTGGGGCCGTCCGCCAACGGCGATCGTGCGTACTGCGCCTTGGTTCTTGAGTAGTTCGGAGATGATCGCGCAGGTTGAGGAGCACATGCCGTCGTGTAGCATGACCATGTCTTGGGCTTGGAAGGGCTGCGGTGTGCTGGTTTCGTTGGCATTGTCGTTGTAGCCAATTACTGAAAAGCCCTGGTATGTTGTGCTGACGCTGTCCGAAAAGTTGTACCGCAGCGTCGTGGTGAAAGAATCGTTATTGATCTGCTCGGGACCAAAGAGTTGGTCCCACCCACTCATGGCCTTGTTGTTGACATCGAGGATATGCTGATAGTTGAATCCGCTTGTGAGGGCGAAGATATCGGCTTGTGTGGTGGCCCGACCAAACACCTCCATGAAGGCGGTTTGGTTCGATTGGACAAAGGTTTTGTTGGCGAGGAAGTCTTGGGTTATCTTTCCAGCAGAGTTCAAAGCATCATTCGCGCGGAAGCGCGTGCCTCCGAATGGCTCCGCGACCGCCTGTGGGTATACTTGCTTGAAAGTATCGTAACCCAGAATCGCATTGCCTCCACCGTTGCCTCGTAAATCGAAGATCATCTTCGTTTTACCCGCTTTCTGCGACATCCTTATGAAATCTCGCATCGTGTTCTGAAAGCTTTGAGCATCAGGAGATTCGTAAGAGGGGATACTGAGAATGGCGACATTCTATATTGGTTAGATAAATAAAAGTAAAAGTGTGTGTGTGGCCTACCTCGTATCCTGAGCCATTGAGATAATATCCTCCAACAGCGAGATTGCGGTTGATCAGCTCAGCTTTAGGGTACCCAATATGTGAGGGAGTCGGTGTGGCCACGGGAGGTGCAGTTCTTGTGGAATTGCTTGTCGGAGAAGGAGCAGGAGCAGGAGCAGCCCGCTTCGGCCCAGTGCAAAACTTCTGGAAGAAAGCTTTGCCGCTATCAACACCAGTAAAGTTCCCAACTACAACAGCGACATTCATCTGGGACCAGGTAGTGCCATTTGCAAACTCAAGGGTTGTGTTGGGGCCTTGATACTGGCCACTTCTGAAGCTTCCAAGAAAGGTAGTGCCGGATGCGAGCAGAGCCTGCGAAGGAAAGAGGGCGTTCCATCGCGTGTCAGCGTCGTGAAAATCGGAACTAGCAGATACATTTGCGAGATAGTCCTGAGCGCCCATGCCGTTGATCACCTTGATAGACGATGGTTTGAAGGAAGAATCGGTGTTGGCTTTGATGACATCCCTGTAAGTGAATATCTCTGGGAGCGCTGTACCGTCTGAAGAGACAGAAACCAGTTCTGACCCAGGAGGTCTCTGAAACTGCATCGCTGAAGCAAGGATGTCAGGTTGGTAGGCGAAGTGGTTGTCGTACGCCTTCGTGAACGTGTTGAGCATCTTCAACTGGAATTCGTACTCGTTTTTGAAGGTACCGTCCGCTACCTGCTTTTGCATAGTGTCCAGCTCGCCCATGATGTCGAGGGGCTCTTCGGTGTAGCCTTTTGGTGGGTTTTTGAGGTATGCGATATTCGATTGCCATTTGACCATGAGCTTGAGGTCGTCGATCAGTCTGACATTGCCCTCCGTATCGAGAGGTACGGACTGCAGACATTGTACTCCTAGTTCGGCAGGAACAATAGGTCGGGCTCCTGAGGGTAATGCCGCGATGGCCATGCTAACAACTGCGCAAGGTTCCTGTCCAGAAGAAGCTGATGCCGGGCTCGAAGAGCTTGAGGCTTCTGTAGAACTTGCAGAGGCGGTACCGTTTTCAGCTGCCGCCATCATCAAGTCCACATCTGCCTGTGTCATGACCTCGTTCATATCGAGATCTGGGTACTCCGGAACTCCATACATCCACGGGTGTGGATTCGCGGTAGACAGGCCGCAAAGAGCGCCTAGGAGCGCAATAGACGAGCGCATCCTGATACGAGAAAGACAGTCGAGTGTGAATGGTGAATTGTAGGCGCCTGGTTCTACGCTTCACAGGAAACTCCGAAGCTTAGCCGTTGATAAAATTAGGTATTATAAAGAGCGATCCAGCGCTAGTAGTAAATTCAAGCTGGGAACAAGAAACGAAAACGGGAAGAACGAGGCCTCCACGGCGAGACCAACGAAAGGAGGATGGAGCTCGCGTATCGCAGCCATGTCCAGATGCCCATATATGAGGCACATGGTGCATTTGATATCGTACGGCAATGCTAAGGAAATTTGGCCTAGGGCGTAGCAGCACTGCCGCGTTATCGAAACGTCTCGGTCTTACCAAGCAGTATGGTCGGGGAAGTCGAAACGCTGCCTTTTGCCATGCCTGACAAAATTACAGCACCAGCATACCAGAGCGAAGTTCTGGAACCACAGTGAACTTGCACTCTCAACGACAGAGCGCTATGTTAACGTCTATGGCCATTATTCTCGCATGGAAGATGCACGACTTCGTTATGCAGAGTATGCGGCGATGGTGGTTGAGGCGGACGGGCCAGGCGTGCGGTACGCGAAACTAACACGAAACATCAAGGTGCTGATATGCTAAGCCTGACTCAGCCTAGCCTGAGCATACAATGTCTCGAATGTTGTAATGCGAACTCCGTCGCGAACACCCTGAATTAGTCACATATACCTCGGGCAGACATCCTTGTGGCCATTTAGATGGCAATGGCGGTCGAGCCATGTTTCCAGGTATTGCGTCTTGTGTATGACTATGCTGCGCCACCAGATAGAATATAGATCTGAGGCCCTAGGCTGCCTCCGCATCGTCCTGATACTGGACTTCCCGATCCCATGCTTCAACTTTCGTGTACGGGCTTCTAAGCCAATCATTCAACTCATGGAGAAACAGTTTGCTGTTCTCTCGGCCTAAGTGTTCCGCCAACAGGTTCTCCGCGTGCCCATTACTGGCCTTTATGTCGACCATTTTCAAGATGGAAACGATGTACGATAACAGAAACTCAGCATTGCTGCTCGTCGTTGCCGCAACAGAGGACGAGCCCGCCGGATCAGCGTGTAAGAAGGTGAAGACGCGGAGTTCGCGACGAATCCAAGTACGTGCTTTTGACTGCATCTCAGGAGAGCTTGCGATCACTTGGGGAGATATGTCGCGATATCCCGAGTAGCGATTGCTGCCGATGTGTAGCGAATATAGCTGCCTTCGGTACACCTCTCTGCGTCTGCGCAGCGCAACATCCTCGATGGGTGGTGAATATGGACGACGCGGACCACGGGGTCTACTAGGAAGCCCGTAGGGCGCGAAGAGGGAGCCCGGCCGGTCAGTTCGGCTATGGTATGCGTTTGAGTCGGCGGGTGGTTGGCTGCGAGGAACAGCATAGCTTTTGTAGTCGGTCGGAGAGCGCCAGTCGTACTGCACGGCGATGACTCGTGCTTTACCTGCATTTATCATCAGAGACGCTCTATGGTATCAAAGGGGACTACTTACATAGCGGGCAAGTCGACCGCTGCTGCAACCAGGACACCAGACACACGAAGTCAAATGTGTAGTGGTTGCATGGGGACGTGATGGCCCTCTCTGTGACCGAAGAGAGACATATTACGCACGTATCGTGTGAGTCGCCTTGGTTCGAGCCGGCCGTGCTTCCTGGCATGCGCTTTCTGGTGTTGTGGGGTTTGAGGAATATCAAGTGGCTTGGATGATGAGCTCATGGCGTCCGAAGTGAGCTTGGGCCAACCAAAAGTGTCGCGACTCGACGCAAACGCAGCGTGTTCGCTCAACATTCACCCTTCCACTCGCTGCACGTGTCCAAAGGTGTGCAGTTCATCGCGGACCTCCTAGCGCCCACTGCTGCGTAGTTTTCGCGCTGGATGCTCCTCGCCGCTACCCGACGCATCACATCGCACTCTGTTCGACGCTCCGTACCAGACATGCTAGCAACCTCAACCAGGCCGGCCGTCGCAGGGCCAAACGGAAAGGCGACATACCACACTGTCACTGCGCTCAAAAGGTGGTCATGCGACGACAAAGAGCTGCCTGCCGTATCCGAGGTCAAGGCAATTCACATCTATGACTTCGACAACACCTGTAAGTCCATCGCGACTTCCTCTACATCCGAGGCTGACTTTCGTAGTATTCGCAAGCCCTCTACCCAACAAGCAGCTATGGAACAGCGCGACGATCGGTCAGCTGGGCTCGCCCGACATATTCCTCAACGGAGGCTGGTGGCACG